CGCAGGGATCCCCTCGGCCCCAGCCTCGGGAATCACCTCAGCCTCGGGAATCACCTCAGCCTCGGGGATCACCCCCACCCCAGGGATCACCTCAGCCCCTGCCTCGGGAATCACCTCAGCCCCAGGGATCACCTCAGACCTGGGAATCACCTCAGCCCCGGGAATCGCCTCAGCCCCCGCCTTGGCCATCACCTCAGCCCCCACCTCGGGGATCACCCCAGAGATCACCTCAGCCCCTGCCTCGGGGATCACCTCAGCCCCCACCTCAGCTCCCTCCTCGGAGATCACCTCCACCCCAGGGATCACCTCAGCCCCTGCCCCAGAGGCAGGGCCCCTCCATCCTGCCAGCCCTTCCCGGCCGACTGCCTCGCAGGCACCCATGCCTTTCCACGGGAAGGGGCCCGCAGCCTGTCGGGTCCAGCAAGGAAGGGCTTGATGAATTTCGTAGGAAACAGCCGACTTACTCATCAGCGGGTGGGGGCTCCAGCCTGCAGAGTCGGCCGAGCTCCTTCCACTTGAGGACGAGGATGGTGCCCCCGGTGAGGATGGGCAGGAGGAGGGAGAAGCCCAGCAGCAGCCAGGTCTGCGCCGTGTCCTCCAGGGCTCGTCGCAGGGAGAAGCCTGGCAAGGAGGAACGCAGAGCTGAGACCGCTCGCTCTCCCCACGGGCCTGCCCGCGCCAGGGATCCCAAAGCTGGCGGCCTCGACTGCTCCTATACGCTACACCTGAAACGGCCGGCAAAGCCCGCTGCGCATGCCACAGTGGGTGACCTCGTACCCCTCCACCACCCCCCAGCGAGATGCCCTGGACAACTGGAAGATGCTAAATACCCTACTGCAACGACAGCACACTGCACGTAGCATTATGCTTTCTAAGCCTGACAGATAATGACTGTCAAATATATTACAATACCTAAAAATCTGATCACATAATTCATAGTCGCAGTTCATAAACTCCTCCCCCCCCCCTTTGGTCTGCGTTTCCTTGACCAAAGTTACATAAGGCGTTTACAACCATCACCTCCTCAGTTTCAGAGGAGCCCTGCGCGTGTGCCAGTGAGACACTGGTGTTTGCTTTACCACATCTGCTCTGGGTACTAACCAATATCCACCATCTGGAGCCCACTGTCAATACTTCCTCCTAAAGAAGATCCCTCAGTTCTGCAGTCTGGAGGTTTCCAGCCGGGATCACAGTGGCAATTTTTTTTATTATTACACACCTAAAAAGCCCAGGGGTAAATGGTAAAAGTTTCCACCTTGCCATTAATTTTGTGCAATAAATAAGGATTATTAAACCTGCTGACCCTCCTCTTCTGCCCAGACAGGCATCAGTCTCACTCACTGATACAAGTTAGGACAAAGGTGTGTGCGCTAATCAGCGGTCTGGCAATTTAGAAAGCAGATCAGAGAAGAAACAAACTATAAACTACAGCCTCCAGCAGTGTGCTTTTCTGTTTGATAAGCAGAAAACATGAATAGCTTATAAAGGCTATCTGTATTCCAGACAGCCAAGTAGAAATCTGGAGTTCCTGTCTTCTTTTCTACACATTTTAATGCCTCCCCTTGCTCTGTACAACCACTTAACATTTTTATCTACTCTGTGTTGCCTGCAGTTCTATGTTCCTTCCATTTTATTCTTTCCCCCCCCCCTTCCTAGTCCAAATAAAACAATAAAACAAATTCTCAGCTTTGGGAATAAAAATCTCTCGTTCTAATTTTGGTATTGGTTTTGTGACCAATAGTTTAAATGGTTTTACTCAGAGCGGTAGCTGACAATGGCATGACTTTGCATAGCAAGTATCAGCCTAAAATGTATGCAAATTGCAGCAAATCTTTATGACAAAAGTACCTACCTTCTTCAGCAATATTAGCAATATTGTTAGTGTTACTTACTCCGTGGCCATGACATTTTACTTCACTGTTGCAATCATATCCCAGGACTGAATGTGGATGGCAAGTGTTGTTTATACAAACCTAAAAAAAACCCCAAAACCCAGAACAACCTCAGTTCAGCATTGCTGTACCTTCTGAATACTCAGCAGATCAGCCATATGCTCTAAAAAAGAGTGAAAATACGATTTTTTTTGAAAAATCTCCAGTGCTCATAAAAAGATACCTTTACTGTACTGCAGTTACAGTATGTCTAATGCTTACACCATGCTGAAAATGTAATGTAACGATAGTATATATTGTAGAAATGTTCATAAATACTGAATACTTTTAAACTATACTGCAAAGGAGTAAATATTTCTAAAACCTAGTTAAAATTTAAAATTTATATCTGACATTTTAGGTGATTATAAAATGTTTTCTTACCTTTCCAGAACCACACTTTGTACCTGCCTCAACCAGAAGAAGACTCAACCCTGCAGATGTGTTCATATAATCCAAAGATACGCACAAATGTTCTCGCACTTGAGCATAAATAACAGCAGCAGTGGTAGTTGCAAACGGAATGCGATATGGGTACGTACAGATTAACTTTCCACATCTGAGATTCCTACAAGATTGATTTGCAAAGGATGTGTTTTTTTAATCTATCTATCTACACACACACATTTATATGCTATATGATGAAACACTAAAAAAATTAAACAGCACAATAAAAATACAGTTGCATGACAAGAAAAAATAAGCAGGTCCTTTTCTGTAAGTTTCAAATTAAATAAGCATTTTCAGCACAGTAACTGCCATTTCCTTAAAACATACCTCCAAGCACAGATTTTATAGTTTTGCCAGGGATTGATACCACAGTGTCCAAATCTATCCCGTTGACTATTGATCTCCTCATAACATATCACAGGAGCATTTTTTGAACCTGAAAGTTTAGCAGTAATACTGATTATAATTTAAAGGAATACAAAGTATATATTAGGGCATCCAATAACTTTTCTAAATTTTCATCCTGTTCACAGTAGACCATATATTTTGTTCACTGATTAGAGGAAACATAATACCTATCCCAGGACTACCAACCCCAAACACTCAACAGTCCTGAACTCCAGAAATAAGGGATTAGTAAATAACAGATTAGCTCACTGCTTAATTTAGCTCACAAATATTAAATTTATGATATATTTTGTTTTTCTTGTTACTTCTGAAAAATTGGGGGAGCTACGTGCTACTCAAGTGCGTATTAACCAGATTCAAAATTCAGCTTGAAATGCTTTTCCAAAACTGTGTCCTGCCTTTTCCTGAGGCCCCACTCCACATCTCCTTCTCTCTTTGTGAGAAGAGGAGCTGCCATACAACTTGTCCCATATAACCCTCTACATCCTCCGCTTTCCTTCCTGCCCCCTACCTCAAGCACAAGAAGGAGCAAGAACACAAGGCACAAGTCTTCCTCTGCCTTGTATGGAGCATTGTACCTGGTTATTCATCTCACATACTTTCAAGTGCAATCCTTAAAAAATCTCCCTCTTGATTCAACAGTTGCTTGAAATCGGGTTTAGGCTTATTGGGGAAGTGTCAGAAATGAGTTAAAAGACTAACAACAGAACCTCATTGGAACAGAAACCAGACTAAAAAGAGAGAACGAAGCTTACCTGACTTGTGAGAGCTAGAGATTTAGGACGCAAGCTAAGCATTGTTTTACTGTAATATCTTCTGAAACTGGGTTGTAGTACCAATGAAAACAGAATCGCCTCTCTTACCCTTCCCATAGAGTCTCTGGCACTGCAGGTCAGCAGACCGGCAGCGTCCTTTGTAGCAGTAACCGGTGCCATGCTCACATTCATGCCCGTCCTGAATATAAAAGTCAGGAGGACAGATCTCAGAGGTCCCGTTGCAGTACTCTGCGAGATCACACTGCGCATCAGCAGGGGGCCGGCACTTGGCATTCTTCTGTTTAAACTGGTGAAAGAGGTACGAATGAGAGATCCGTGGTCCATCAAGGCAACAGATGGCCTGTAATGCTTTAACAGTGCAATTTCCCAAAGCTTCGGACGGTTACGCTGAGGGCGTGCGCAGCTCTGCCAACGCTACAGAGCGGCACAGCCGCTGCACCTTGCACACACCGCTCGCCACTCCTGACACCCACCCGCCTGCCAGGCCTCTTCTCTCCGCCCTTACACACCTGTCTCACACACACACACACACACACAGAGCAGCGTGGTCCCCTCTCAAACCCCACGCAGACCCTCCTGATGCTGTCGGAGACGCATCCCCAGTACCTCCAGACCATCTCTTAGATTCTCAGCACGCAGGTCACGGCACGCACACTGGGGTGACATCCACAGCCTTCCCCTGGCAATTTTCCTCCCGGGGATTTTAGGGACATGAGCTGGAAAGCCCTACCCCAGGAACTGCTCTGATTGTATCCAGCCCTCCAACAGACTTCCGTGAATCGGCACACAATGCTGAGTTTCCCTGTCCTTCAGCTTCCCATGCCTAACATGGTGATCACCAGTCCTCCTACCAGTCTTTTAAGAGTGACTGCTTGCATACCCCAACAGGAAGGTTGTCTCCATCCTTAAGCATGGGAGCATAATATTTCTCCAAAAATTAATAACGATCATGTGACAATTACAAAAACATGCCTCACCTGACATCTATCACAACATAATCCAGAGGAACATTTCACTCCAGGCTTAAACTGACAATCTGTAGTACAGCATTCATCTATCAGACAATCCTGAGGACACATTATAGAATCATGTTATTCTACGTTTTCCTTCCCCTAGAGCTATTCACTTTCAAAGGTTGCCCCCTCCCTTCTTATTCCCAAAATATTAAACTTGGGCAGTATCTAGGAGAAGGTAGAGGACAAAGCTGCAATTTGATTGATGCTGACATAGGAACAATCTAAAAACAGATACAGGTCCCTCTGGGGCTGGCTCCTACTCCAGTTGTGGCCTCAAGGGTTCATTATTCTAAATCTCAGAACAGTTCAGGTTTACATATTTAGCCATAATTACTGTAGTACTAACCTGCAGTGACCCGCAGTCGCACTGCTCTCCACGTTCCACAACACCATTGCCGCAGACTGCAGCTTTCCTGTAGGACCGTCCACTCAAATGGGGTCTATTGAGAAGGCAGTCTCCTCTGTTTTGCTTGAGAAAGTTTTCAAAGTCTCCAATGCTGCAGCTACTAAAGGTTTTTACCCCACCAAAACGTCTGAAATAAATTAAGTATCTATACTTGTTTATGTTCTAACGCATCTACTGCTCTTTATTTTCTTAAAACATCTATACAGTTCAAGAACTTGTTAAAATGTCAGCACAAGGCAGGCAAAGTGTTCTACTGGGTGTCTTTTAGTTCACTTGTAAAACTAGATTTACAAAAGCATTACTAATAGATATTGAGAAGAATTCAAAGATACCATGCTTTTGGAGAGAAAGTTTTCATTTTTCAAGTAGAATCACTAACTTACCTACTCTTTTTCCTTCCTAGAGCAAGAACAACAGAGACCTGAAATTCTCAGAATTTCAAATATGAAGTCTAATGAAAAGACATTCCATTAGTTTGAGTTATTGTAATTTTTGCAATGGAATGACGTTTCACAGAATCACAGAAGAGGTGAGGCGGGAAGGGACCCCTAGAGATCATCTAGTCCAACCTCCTTGCTAAAGAAGGGTCATCGAGAGCGGGTTGCTGAGGACCATGTTCAGTCAGGTTCTGAAAATCTCCAAGGATGGAGACTCCACAAACTCTCTGGGCAACCTGTTCCAGCATTCAACAGCCCTCACAGCAAAGAAACATTGTCTGTGTTCAAGTGTCCCTGTGTTTCAATTTGTGCCTGTTGCCTCTCATCCTGTCACTGGGCACCACTGAGAAGAGTCTGGCCCTGTCTTCTTTATACCCTCCCTTCGGATATTTATACGCATGTATAAGACCCCCCCCGAGCCTTCCCTTCTCCAGGCTAGAGAGTCCCAGCTCTGTCAGCCTCTCCTGGTATGAGAGATGCTGCCAAAGGCATCTCTGGTCAAAGCACACTCGACTGCGATCCTTGCAACATGAACATGGCATAGCGTACACGTCGGCACTTAGCTGCAAGATATCAAACTGCTCAAACAGAAAGGGCTCTGTCTGCAGCATACAGAATCAACATCGCTGACGTTGGGGATAATTGCTCAAATCCCACTACCATGTCCTTTCCAAAATTTCTCATCTACACCTGGTAACTAGAGTTCCAACAGGAAAAAGGCAACGTCACAGACAGAAACAGACAACAAAAAACTTACAAGGCCTTAGAGTTCATTATGCAAACGGACCCGGGACACTGGCAGTCTCTGGAGCCGTCATAGGTCATTCCCAGGCTCAGCCCCAGCAGCTGCGCCAGGATGATGGAAAACGACTCCAGGCTCACAGCCCTTTGGTACTGGAGGGAAGAGAGAGCAGAGCGCTGTCGCAGCATCGCTTCCCTCGCGCACGCGGCAGCGCTGAACGCTGCCCCAGGCTGCTCCCGCCCAGACCTCCCCGCCGCCCGCGCCCCGCGACGCCCGGGCCGGCACACCGTC